CTATTGTGTGCGTGTGATATTGTGCTATTGTGTGCTGTTATGTCTGTGATGCCCTGTGGCTTCAGAGCACCCTCGTGCGGGTTCAAAAAAATTTTCTTCTTAAACTGCTAGAGTACGCATACGTGTAGGTTTGAGGTGCGTTGCGTATCTGACAAGTGTGCAAACGTGATTGTTATATGAAAGTTTTCCACTCGTGAGTGAACAATTTTCATCTTTTTTTTTGTATTGCGCTCATCTGGCACGTCGCATTATGCATTCTATTTAAATGTCCGCGTTCCCCTTGTTGTTAAAAAAAATCCTTTTGAGAACCATCAAACATTTATGTCCACGTATTCACTCGCTGGTACTAGTCAATCCCGCTTAAACTCTTGTATCGAAGACTTCAGCGAGCTTTTCTTATGAGATTCAATATCTCAAGGTTCTTGTATATAGTCAGTGGTACGTTTTCTTGGCTGCATGGTTGCACACAGTATGATACTGTTGTCTATGCGTGCGCACATTTCAACTTCAAGTTCTATACACGCAGCGAACACCGTTACACGCTAGCTGCATTCATATTTGTCTCGTGTTGCTAAACGCTATCCTATTTGATATTCTTGGTGTATACTCGCAATCTTACTTATGTATGTAGCGGCCAATTCAAAACTCTCTAAACTATTCGACAGTTTTTGTGTACACGGCGTACGTAAACTATATATGTACCTCCACGTGTATTTCGCTTTACAGAGCCATCTCCGCTTGCGACCAGTGGTGATAGGCTGTATATATGACGATGACGAGGGTTGTCTCAACGCGAAAGACCAGAAGCAGCTGACTTGTCTGCAGACGTATGCTATCGTTCCGACGAACCCCCAAGAGGTGTGCTGCTCGTTTAAACTAAACCCCAAGTTCGTCTCTGGCCTAGCTTTTTTTAGTCGTCAGGATGTTTATTTCTTTCATGTGTGTACTTCAAATACGTGTGGCCACTGCGAGCAGGTGTTGGAATCGTTATTCAAGCCAGTTTGCAATAGCGTAAGTTTCACTTCATCCCTTTATTGTGAGGCTGGGTGTCTGTGATCGGAGGTTGTCTTTCGCATTGCTGTCTGTTGTGCTGTACATATTTAGCACTCACTAGTGGTGGTCATCGGATGGAATAAAACACAAGCACATACCATCCCTTTTGCCACGTCATACATTATTTGTCTCCAATGCGCATACTCTGCCCATGAATATACTCATACACGCACTACATGCTCGTGTTTTTGGCTCACTACACCACAGTTCGCCGCCAGACACACCCCTCTTATTACGCATTGTCGACATATCAAATATTTTAAAAGTCTGCTACTTTCCACATCGTCCACACGATGTGCGCAATGAACAGCTCTGAATTGCCCACATTTTTTCTACGCTCACTCCCAGCTTCCAATTTGTGTGGATGAACCAATACCTGAACCCTCGCCACCACCGCCACCTAAGGCCCAGACGGAGCTCACTCCAGAGCAGACAAATGAACTGGTGGCGCTGGTACACGCTAATAATTACAAGCTGGTGTGTGAGTTGATTAACTCCAAATCGTGCTGTTTGCTACAATTCCTGCCCTGATGTACATACATGATATGACATTTGCGTGACTGGGCGGGCACACGTGAAAACTAGAGCATGCAGGCGCCCCGCGTTTGTTTTGAATTGGTCTGAATGCGAATCTGATAGCATAGATATATGCAGACTACACTCAGCTACTAAGCTACAAACTCAGCCGGAAAGCATTTGTGCGCGCCTGTTGATATACCTCCGAGTTGTACCTTTGCCCATCGATATATATATATATTAGGTGTAAGTAAAGAGCAATACTGAAAGTAAGGCTATTTAATGTTCCGACATGTAAAGTGGAGCAAAAATAAGAAAGAATGTCCTTCAAGAATTGAGCTTGGTCTTGTGTAGAATCATCGTTTTTAATCGGTTTTCTCGAATTTCCGATCTCTCGATATCTATGAAAAAACGCAGAAAATGTTCTCAGACGAATTCAGAGCAAAGTATCCTGAATTGAGGGTGAAACTGGTGAAGGATGCCATCAAGAGCTTCGCCGAGTGGGGCAGGCGTAACGGTGAACCATTCAGACGATGGTATGAGCATTTTGATAGGATTAGTCAACTTTGCTGGCAATAAATCTTAATTAGGTTTGTGCCAGCCACAAAGTGTTTTGCATACATGGCTGGATCATATTTGACTGGATCTTGACCGTGTAGATACAATCGCTAAGCACCCACAAATACATACTTTTGTCAGTATGCTCAACTCCTACACCTTTTTCGAATCAGGTGGCTAACACCCGAAATCCTAGAAAAGTACGGACTTCCCTCTCAGGAACCAGCCAAACCAACTCCCGCGGCCACTGCCACCGTCACTGCTACAGCCAATACTACAGCCAATACTACAGCCACTACCGAGTCAGCCATAGCACCCAGTAAAGCCAAGCAAAATGCCACCAAACTCACCAAAGTTCTTCCCAAAATTATCAGACAAGCGCCCGTTAAAACGACTGACCGACCTAACATTGCTGATATGTTAACGACTAAGGGTTTGCCAGCGGTGGCGGTGTCTCCAGTTTCTAAAGAGGTAGCTGATACAAAAGCACAGACCACTAAGGCCCAACCTTCGATTTCGGATTTCTTCCGAACTAAGGTGTGTGTGTGATTTCAACCTGCGAAAGTTCATAATATATATCTACTTCTGTAGCCGTGCACTTATATGTGCTTATGTGTACTGATGTCCCATATTAACGCCGTGTCAGTTGCTCTTCAAGTATCACATTATGTGCATTGTTGGTGCTTTCGCATCACATACATGCAACACATGAGCGTGGCATCATTGGCGCACGCGTGTTGGTATATGTCCTTCGTTTCCTATTGTCCTGCATATCAGGTGAATGAGTGCTTGAATTAATGTAGGTTCTGTTCCACTCCACTTAATAGACTCGATGCCCAAGTGTTGTGTTGTTCACTTCGCTTTGCACTCCATAGAACACAACAATCATATGCCACATTTGGTGGCCCGCAATTTCAATACTGATTCTGCTTCAATTGTGTTTGCATGCATTCAATAAATAGCCAACACACATGGAGGCGCCCGATGAGGAGGCAATACAGCCACAGCAAAGAGAGCCCTGCGTAGGTAGCGCACAGCCGACGATACATATTCTCGTGGCCAAGAAGAAGCGAGTGACTCCGACTCTAGAGCAGGCACTTAGTTCACGGTCCCCACCAACCCAACTCGCAAATATGAATTCACCGCAAACTCTCACTAGTATTGAACCCCAGCCAGTGATTAGCTGTCAAAATACCGCGAATAATAGTGGAAACAAGGAAGAGATTGCGAAGACGATCGCTAAAGCTGATATAGACACACAAACAAATGGGAGTTCAAATGCCCACTTGCGATCGCCAAAGGTCACGATAAGAAAGGCACACTCGAGTCCGAATAAATAATCAGGCGCGCTTGCAAAATTCGCAGGGCACGGGTAGGGCTGAGTTTATCGTGAGAAGTATAGAGATATGCGAACTGGGATCTCATATGTAGTGAGCGAGCTACGATTCTGATGCGCCATTGGCACTGTCTTGAGTCCCTGCCGCCAATGATATTAAATAAATAAAAATATTACTGAAAGCGTAAGCTTTTCTAAGTCCCTGTCGACTATATCACCGATTTTTTGTCCGTCGCCAAAAAAACGTCCGTGACGCTATTTGACCCATTTGTAGACCCCCATGGAGTCCCACCCTCCAGAAGTAATGATGTATTAGTGATATGGTAAGGGATGTACTGTTTAAGACATTTTTTACTACTTTTTTAGTCTGAAACTCTGAATATGAGCAAATAAATTATCCCTACAATTATACGCTTTTAATCCCCACGGCGTCCCAGCCGTGTTTTATTATGAACTGAAGAATGTAAATTTTGAATAGCAATTTGAAGATTGATTCATTTCAGATGACAGTCAAAGGCTGCAAGGAATGATTAAATTTATATTTTTCATAACATTATTGTTTTCTGCGACATTTTTACCAGAACAAGTAGCTAGAGAAAAGTTAACTTTTTGAAACCCCCGTATATAGAAATAGTTGCTAACATTCCCAATGCTTTTTTCTTTCCAACCTACACCCGGAAACCGCACAACAATGTATAAAGCGAATTGATTTGTGGACGAACCATACGAGAAAGACTAGATAGTGGCCTTGGCATTTACGCTGGATAATTCGATGATCAGAAAAATCAGTTTCCTCACCGTCCTGTCTTCTTCGTTTGAGACTTCGTTCAATTGTGCTTTTAGTTGTTCGTGGAATCGAAGCTATACCTTGAAATACATACCACTGGGCCCGGTGGTAGTTTTCTTCTAATAAAATTACACGTAAGGTAGGCATTCGTCGCGATGTAGGCGGTTCATTTCATTCGTGTTCATGTTCGACGCTTGATGTTCCTGTTCCATGTTCGATGAATAAACACTGTGACGTGTAAAAGGATGAAGATCTCGGCTATTTATAAAT